CATCCAGAATTTCAATAAATTTCGTTTCGTTCACGCCTACGGAGATTTCCCGCGAGTTCCAGCACGCGCGCGGTAGATTGAAGTCGCCAGCGAGAACATATGCGAGACATGGCTAAACGGCTGTATATTGAACAGCGCAATATTATCTGGCTATAACATATTTCGCCGAGATAGAATTGACCGTGTTGGAGGTGGCATCTTAGTTGCAATAAAGGCTGATATTAAATCAACTCGACGTTTAGATCTTGAAAGGAAAAGTGTTGAACTTGTTGTAGTTGAACTTAGTAGACCGGACAGTCGATCATTTTTACTTTACACGTTTTACCGTCCTCCCGATTCTTTGCCTGAAGTTCTTCAGCACCTTAACTTATCGTTGCAAAGTATTCAAGAATCTGACTGTTGTGTTGTTGTTGGTGATTTCAATTTGCCCATGCTGGACTGGTCGAATGATCAAGCTGCGCCTGTTAATATCGGGGGAAACGCAAGTGGTAATGTGCTTTGTGAATTGGTTGGAGACAATTTTTTGGGGTCGGCTATGCTGCGAGTTGCGAGCTGCGAGTTGCGAGTTGCGAGCTGCGAGTTGCGAGCTGCGAGTTGCGAGCTGCGAGTTGCGAGCTGCGAGTTGCGAGCTGCGAGTTGCGAGCTGCGAGTTGCGAATTTGCCCATGCTGGACTGGTCGAATGATCAAGCTGCGCCTGTTAATATCGGGGGAAACGCAAGTGGTAATGTGCTTTGTGAATTGGTTGGAGACAATTTTTTGGGGTCGGCTAAGCTGCGAGTTGCGATGCTGCGAGTTGCGAGCTGCGAGTTGCGAGTTGCGAGCTGCGAGTTGCGAGCTGCGAGTTGCGAGCTGCGAGTTGCGATCGCTTTGAATTAGGCTTTGAAAGTATATTAATATGGACGACATGGAAGGCGAAGGGTTTTTCATCGAAGGGTTTTTTGTTTCATAAATATTAATGACCTTCGAAATTAAGGTCCCTGTAACTAAATCGGTTAATTTCAACACGTTTTCAGTGCACTTTAAAGCCGGTTTTCCACTTCAACCGTATCGTAGCGAAGCGTATTTCTTGTTTCCTGACCACTAGAGTGGAAATAACGACTTCGACACAAAAGAAAATGCTACGATACGGACGAGATGAAAATCGGCCTTTACTTGTTTGTTTACTTTGTTAGATCCATCGATACGTATGTTCAAGAATTAAAATAATTATATTGAAAATAAAAGTGCAAGTTTATATTTGCCGTTTCTGTGTTTAATTAAATCTAGTAGTTATCCAGACCATTTTGTGCTTTCTAATCTTAAAGGTGATCTACAGTCCGTATGTAAACAAAGCCTTTGTTTACATTTTTGTGTCCAAAATATTGAGCTTTATTCGACAACTATTTCAGTATTTTGAAGCTTCTAGAGTATAATAAATGATCAAGAAACAACAATCAGGCTTTTCAAGAACTTTAAACATAGTTAAACTGTTTGTATCATAAAAAGTGGGCTCATTTGTGCACATGCGCAGATCGGACTGTAGATCACCTTTAAAACGGTTATTTAATTTTATTAGTAAGTATGACCAGACACCGATTCAGTTTGTTTATATATTAATATATACTGAACGCTGGGAACCCTATAAAAGTCAAGTCCTTTTCATCGGAAGTACAATTTATTTTATACAATTTATACATAGACTGACAGGGGCGTAGCATGACCTTTTTAACTGGGGGGGTGTAACATCTAAGTTTTACCGACCCACGCGCCACGAGGCGCCACCATGGTTGGCGCCGAGCGGAAAATTTTTGAAAATATGGAGTCTCTAGATCGTTGGAAATGGCATTTTCAGAGCCTTCTGTACCTTATACACACAAGGTTTGGTAGCTTTTATTTATATCAAACAAAACCATATTGTTGAAGTTGTGTTATTTTCGAAATCCGCGAGAATCCGTCAGATATTAACAAGCTGTGAGACTGTGAGTGTGAGCTCACCGTGAGGTTTTATTAGAATCCGTGACCGCCCCTTATACGCTACATATAACATATACCATAACAGCTATACAGCAATTGACAAATAAATATTTCGGCGCGCGTTTAATTTAATGACACTTACCGTGACTTTAGTCAGCCGTCTAGAAATAACGTAGAACCAGAAACGTAGCAAACGCTTTATTAATTGGAATAATTGTTGTCTTTGTTACTTCGCGATAAGTCATTTTACCCAATGGCATTTATCTTGTTGTTTATTGTAATGAACAGACTTGAAAAATTGGCGAAACATTTTATGAGCACCGCGTGTCAATAACAAATATATAAATATAATCTTTAATTCTTTTGCGTATCATTGTATCAAGGTCAAAAGTTCGCGCACAGTTGAACATGTCCAATCAGAACCGACTGTTTTCGCAGCTCTTGCAAGTGTAATACGATAGGAAATTAGGGGCTCCAATGCTTATGCGTAGATATTTAATATAAGTGTTTTAATACTGAAGAATTACGTACATTTTGCATAACTTTATTGGAGAACAAGGCACAACATTAATTTAATTTTTTTTGATTATTAAAAGCCATTTACCGAGGAGCAAAATTCCACTTTAACCGATTTGTTTTACCGACCGCTGTCATGGCTCTTGCCATTACCGAATAACTTCGCGTTTTACCGACTACCTCACTAAAACTGGGGGGTGTCACACCCCCCCCACACCCCCCCGCACGCTACGCCCCTGCTGATAGACATACATATACATACATAAACTTTATCTAAACACGGGAAAATACCATCAGTATCTCAAAACGATTGCTATTTACAAGTTTTTGTAAGTATAAAAATAGGTACGCGACCGCGTACATGTATCTGCGCATTAAAGGTCCAGACATGCCGGACGCGATTCGACAACGCGACGCGATTTTTCGATTTTCACTGACCGATAACTTTGATCCAAGTTTAAATTTTCCAAATATTTAGATGCGCTATAACATTTTAAGTTACTTGGTCTACATATGTTTCTAACTGATTTGCTCTCATTAGCTGTTTTTCAAACTAACTGAAAAATCGCGTCGCGTTGTCGAATCGCGTCCGGTGTGTCTGGACCTTAAGGCCGAAATTCGTCACGAGAACTTGTGTCTGCGAAATACGGTGGTTGCACATGAGCGATTGTATTGAATTGTCCCACTTTGTCCCCTTTCGCAGTAAGTAGAAATGTTTCGCATTTCGCCGAGAAAAAACGCTCGTGGAATCAGGCCTTTACTGCATTGATGTTGCATTCTCGGAATCACATTTTTACAGCAATTGTGCGAAATTGTGCTAGTTGAAATTATATGCCTGCTTCAGATAAAATATTTACATTTAACCAGTGACTTCTAAATTAAGAGGACGAGAACCATTTATATCCGGAATCACGGCAACTGATATCAATCATACAAAAATGTTTCTTTTATCTGGACCTAAATATCTGCTATTCATACAGTTCATTACTTTTAAGAACAATTTAAAGAAAATAATTAATTAAGGCTGTAAAATGTGTGGATTCAAAGACGTGGGATCACAGGCGGCCCAATCTCAGAATGAATGATCAGGTGTTGCGGGTTTTTAACGGTTTTTATAAACAAATTTATAGTCAACCAAAACTATTTTAAAAACATTCTTAAATTAGTCAAATAAATGCATTTTAACAATAAAATATAGTTGACATGATAGTATATTACCTTTGCATTCTTTTAATTACTCCATGAGCTCATTTAGAGCGGTTGATGTAACATTTTCTGTGGCCTACATTGTGTGTGCTCGTCTATATATAATATAACAGTAAAAGGCTAATCACTGGCGGCCACGACCGCCTCGCCTTCAAAGTCAAATATCTCCGCTCAAACTTCTCGTACGCCAAAACAAATTCGATTACATCGTTTCACAAAGATTTCTCTTTCTAAAGAATATGGTTTGATCGTAGTTTGGGCAAATTTAGCGACAAACGGAACCAAAATCTCCTCAAATTCGGATACTGTTCAAAATACTTAGGGCTGCTCGGGCACGATCGTGGACGTGACGTAATCAATACATACTGACAATAACGCCTGACCCGGGGTGGGACAGCATATCAAATTTGACGATAGTTTGTCGCTTGATGCTGTCCCACCCCACGTAAGGTGGTAAGGCGTTATTGTCAGTACGTATTGATTACGTCACGTCCACGATCGTGCCCGAGCAGCCCTAAGTATTTTGAACAGTATCCGAATTTGAGGAGATTTTGGTTCCGTTTGTCGCTAAATTTGCCCAAACTACGATCAAACCATATTCTTTAGAAAGAGAAATCTTTGTGAAACGATGTAATCGAATTTGTTTTGGCGTACGAGAAGTTTGAGCGGAGATATTTGACTTTGAAGGCGAGGCGGTCGTGGCGCCAGTGATTAGCCTTTTACTGTTATATTATATATAGACGAGCACACACAATGTAGGCCACAGAAAATGTTACATCAACCGCTCTAAATGAGCTCATGGAGTAATTAAAAGAATGTAAAGGTATTATACTATCATGTCAACTATATTTTATTGTTAAAATGCATTTATTTGACTAATTTAAGAATGTTTTTAAAATAGTTTTGGTTGACTATAAATTTGTTTATAAAAACCGTTAAAAACCCGCAACACCTGATCATTCATTCTGAGATTGGGCCGTCTGTGGTTCAAATCGAATATGAAGTAAAATCAGGAGCATACTGTCACAGGCTAATTTTGTATTTTAATACCCTCTGGAAATACCAAGGCTTTGGTACCCCTATCTTGAAAATATTTCCTCCTATGATAACATTGATGATCGTTGGTCTTGCTGGAAAACATTATTTATAACTGCAGTGCGTGAACATGTTCCTACCAAATTTATCAAAGATATTTTAAAACACTCCGCCTTGGATAGATCAGGAAGTCCGCCATCTAATTAGAAAGAAATACTCGGCCTTAAAAAGATACAGAAAAAATAAATCTGATGCCCTCAAAAAAAAACTTCGGGATATTAGTCAAGCTGTTAAATGTCAAATTAAGAGAAAATATCGTGAATACCTAACCAAGATCGAGAAATCCTTAAATTCTAATCGCAAAACTTTCTGGAGTTATCATAAGGCTATGTTACATCAAAGAACAAACCATATTTCTGCGATCATTTACAACGGTGTTACAGCAACTAATCCAATTGAAAAAGCAGAACTACTCAATGCTTATTTTACCTCTGTGTTTTCCAAACCAACTGCGAACATGGATTATGCGAATTTTCTGAATTATCAGGAGTTTTGCTCAGAACTTGCTGAATTCCAATCGACTACGGACGAGGTCCTTGCTTATCTGAATTGTTTGGATACATCTAAAGCATGTGGTCCTGATTGGTTACCAGCGCGTTTACTTAAAGAGTGCAGTTTCCAGATAGCACCCAGTTTGTGTGGTTTGTTTAACTATTCGTTACATATAGGACGTCTTCCATCAGAGTGGAAAGCAGCTGACATCACTCCGATACATAAAAAAAGAATTAAGAGAACCAGCTGAAAATTATAGACCCATATCTCTTCTTCCAATTATAGCCAAAGTCTTGGAACGTTGTGTGAGTAAAAGGCTATATGATCACGTAATAAATGCTATTTCTCCACAACAACATGGTTTTGTAAGGAATCGTTCGTGCGTAACTCAACTCTTACAAGTGCTTCATTTAATCGGACAAAACCTAGACAAAATATCCAAACAGACATACTATATTTAGATTTCGCCGTACGTCAGTAGCTGTCTCGCATTTGTGAACTTTTGAAGCTTTATGTAACTTGTAAATTCTACTAAACTTTTGCAATAAAGTTTGTTGTTGTTTATATTTGGAGTTTCCTCGTCCATTCGTTGGAATACCATATCAAACTTCTGATTTTCACATAGTGCTGACAAAAATGTCAAATTGGTATCATCAGCGAATAAACGCCCATTTGATACCAATTCACTATTAGGTAGGACGTTTATATATATTTAGAACAGTAGTGAACCTAGGATATGTTATATCCTCAGAAATGCACTGTTATACAACTCAAACTCAACTTTTAATGTCCTTAGAAAACTGAATAACAACCTTTACTTTATCGCTCTCGCACATGTTCCTAAAACCCCCAAAGCGCATGCGCAATATATTACATTTCCCTTTCTAACAAAAGTCTCTGTTCATAACGATTAAATTAACTATAAATTGTCAACGATAATAACGTAAAAGTTCTTTAAAGTTAATGATCTGTTCTTCCTCGATTAGCTCTTAACGGATAACGTCTTTCAGCGGAACCTGTGTTTTTCGCACTTGAATTATCAGTAACAGAGTTTTGATTATCATTCTTTTCTACAGAATCATTGCTACTAGTACCCGAGGTGTTTCCATATCTGTTCGAATTTTCAGATAATTGTTCTGCTTCCGGTGTCCCACTCTTTTCCGGAGAGATCTCAACTTCATCCCAATCATTTTCTTGTTCAATCTGCGGATTGTATTTGACTAACTGATCTACATGTCGTTTCCACAGATATCCAGGTACTCTAACCATGTAATGCCTTGAACCAAGAACTTTAGTGACCACTCCAGGAATCCATTTCTCTTTCCCTTGATAATTACGTGCTAAGACATTTTCCCCTTCAACAAAGGATCGCACGTTTAAATTCGAAGAACGTTCAAGGACTTTATATTGCTTTTGTTTCACATGTTCCGGAACGGAAGGAAAAACTAGATCAAGCCGTGTTCGCAGACGTCTGCCCATAAGTAAAACTGAAGGTGCCGCACCCGTTGTAGAATGTGGTGCATTACGATACACTAGTAAGCTCTTAGCAATAACCACGTTCACATTCTGTTTAGTAATTCGAGCTTGCTCAATCGCCGATTTCAAAATTTGAACAACTCGTTTAGCTTGACCGTTCGTTGAAGGTTTGTAGGTTGCAGAAGTTCGATGCATAATTCCGTTGTTACGGCAGAACTGTTGAAACTCGCCAGCAATGAATTGCGGTCCGTTATCGGAAACTAATATTTCCGGAAGACCATGGCGGCTAAAGATATCTCGCAGTGCATTTATAGTAGTCGTAGCTGTTGTAGTAGTCATTTTAACAACTTCCGGAAACTTACTGTAAGCGTCAACTACCACCAGATACATTTTCCCAACAATAGGCCCAGCAAAGTCGATATCAATGCGAGACCAAGGCTGTGATGGAAAAGTCCAGAGATGTACTGGCGCTTTTGCTGGCTCTGATCGCATTTTCTGGCAAACAGGGCAAGTGGACACAGTCTGTTCAATGTCGGAATCAATCTTTGGCCACCAGACATAAGACCTCGCAAGCCCTTTCATTGTCATGCCCGGATGGGTGTCATGTAATTCGGTTAGCATTTCACTTCGAAGAGATGGAGGAACAACAACCCGAGCTCCCCAAAGGATGCATCCTTGATGAATAGTTAGTTGATCACTTCTGTTTTTGTACGGAATCATATCAGCATCAACTACAGAGCCAACCATTTTGTATGTATCTATATACTAAAGAAAGAACAGGATCCACTTGTGTCTTTTTCTTAATCATTTCAGCAGTTACATTAGTAACAACACCAGCTTCAAAGAAATAACATTCTACATTTTCACTTTTAGGGCACCAAGTTTGTGGTAAAGGTAGACGGACATGCTGTCAGCGTCAGCATGTGCAGTTGTACTTCGGTACTCAATCTTGTAATGAAACCAAACTTAAGCAATCTTTCTAGCATTTGGGACAAAGTATTCAGATGATCTTCATAATCAGTTCCAGCAATAAGAATGTCATCCAATCTGCTAACAGGCTAACAGCTTTCGGAATATCTGCCAATAATCCATCCATAATTCTCTGAAATATAGCAGGACCTGAATGAATCCCGTTAGGCAACCTTTTAAAAGCAAAGAGACCCAGAAGGGTGTTGATGGTAAGATACTTCTGAGACTCAGTTGAAATGAGAATTTCATGATAAGCTTGCTTCAGGTCTAATACACTGAATACTTGACAGCCCCTCAATGCAGAATGCATATCTTCTATTTTAGGCATTGGATAAGTCTCAACTTCAGCACATGCATTATAAGTAACACTGAAATCACCACAAACTCGAACTTCATCACCGTCCTTTTTGCCCACCGTAACAATAGGGGCAGCACTAACAGCAGAAGAAACCCTCTCAATGACACCATCTTTTTCCATTTTTAGTAGAGCACTTTCAACTCTTGTCTGTATTGCATATGGAACTGGACGTGCTTTATGGAATTTAGCTCCCTTACTTTCATTGAGAACTACAGCATCACCAGTGTAACACCCAATTTGAGGTTGAAACAGTTCATCATATTTTGATAGGAGTGAGTCCAATGTATTCTTATTTTCAGAAATCTTGGAGCATGTAGCTGTGGTAGTAAATGACGGTAACTCAATTCCAGGCAAATTGTTCCAATCTAGCTTTATACACCTTAGCCAGTTTCTTCCAAATAAGACACCAGAGCCCTGTGGTACTACCAGTAATGGAAGAGAGTGCTGAGTTCCAGCATAAGTAACATTAACATTGATTTGTCCCAAAGGTTGAACCTTTTCACCGGTATAGGTAGATAATCTCACTGCGGTAGGTTTTAAAGGGATATGGGAACAAAATTGCTCATAGAAGGTTTGGGGGGCCAAGGACAATGCACAACCAGTATCTAATTGTAAGGAACACTCTTGATTCTCAATTTTCAAGGGTACGGAAATTTCTGATTTGTATAGGGAGTTAACATCAAAAACCGTAAATAATTCTTCCTCAAGAAACACATCATCTGAACTCAGTTTCTGTTCGATAAAGCTATTTTGCATGTTACCTCTCTTGCAAACACGAGCAATGTGACCAGTCCGCTTACATCGGCTGCATACAACATTTCTAAATCTACACTGGGCCCGAGAATGTTCAGTACCTCCACAGGAATAACAGGCATATGAAAATTTCTGGGCGGTAGGAATGGTGGTCTTAGGTTATTGGAATTTGATGTATTCCTGCTATTTGAAAACTTATCAGGAATTTGATTTCTACCCACAGTATGCACAGATTCGTTCACTGGTTTCGTATTATTCTGAAATGCTAAAGTCTCCTTACTAGCAACTTCATCAGCTATGGCCACTTTTAACACATCTTGAAAAGTACGGTCTTCATTTAGTAACTTTTTCCGAGTAGCTGAATCACGAATTCTGCATATAAATTGTCACGCAGAGAACGGTTTAAGAGGCAGTCTCTGTAAGAACCTCATGACCTCTTTGGATCAACAAATAGATTTCTCTCAAACTTTGTAGTTGAGATTGCCTTTATAAGGGTTGTTTCAAAATGCATTTTGTTTTCAGTCTAATTGCATTTTGGCAAAGTTCCAGGGGGGTCAAGTTGAGGGCTAAAATTACGATTTTTGCTGTTTCTCAATAGTGGATTTTTGCTGATTTTTAAACCTCTGTACATCAAACAAAAATAATCATAAAACTAAATCTTTCCAGACAATAGTAGCTTTATATGTCTTAAGTAACAAAGTATCTATAAATTTTTCAAATTTGTTTTCTAAATATAGAAATGACATCATTCATGATAGACTAAAATAGAAATTTCCAAGTTCCTTAAAAATGGGTGAAATAAAACCCCTAAAATTCAAAAGTTAGACTTGCTATGAATGTAATATTATTTGTATGGTGAGATTAAAGGTTGGTCTTACATAATATAAAATAAAATATTGCGGCCTGTAAATTTTGGAGGTACTACAGGCCAACAAAACATCAACATTTTCGACTTTCGGCAGTTTGGAGTAAATAAGAACGTTCATGTTTAATGTAAACTCTGCTTTGAAAGAGCAAAATTTTACATATTATTGGACCTAGAACAGTGATGAACATTCGTTTGACCTTTACTGTTGTCTAAAGTCTTTTAGGGAAAAGCACTGACACAGGCATTTCCGCTATTTATGGACGTAATGGACCGTATTGTATAAATAATAAACATTTTCTAGCTGAATATAATCAAGACAAGTTATACATTTGCATCATGTAAAGACGTCGGTTAGTCAACAAATTATCAAACATCGATTTATTTTGAAGATTTATTTAAAAAGTCAAGAGAAAACCTACCCCAATATATTTATATTGATACAAAGTATGCCTCGATCGACAGCCTTGTCATTTAATGACCCAAATTGTCAGTTGACTTATTATTTGACGTTCGTTAGCTGCCATTATCCTTTAGTGTTAATCACTTTCGATATCTTAATGATTATTGTAGACACAGTCTTGTATATAAATCTTGATTCTTCGTCCGAACAGGCAATGTTAGTCAATTCCTCCAACAGTCCATCGTTTATATAACTCGATTTTGTTGTTGTTATGGCGGAGGCCGCTGACCAGCCAAATAATTCGACTGTCAAACGTACAGGGCGGGTTTGTGCACGATAGAGATATTTACAGCCTTGGAAAATTTTGCTTCCATCAAACAAATGTCATGATAAACCTGTATCCTCCCGCACAATAGTAGCTTGGTATGTCCTAAGTATCAAGGAATCTATAATTTTTTTAAATATATTTTCTAAATATAGAAATGTTTCTATATTTAGAAAAATTACATTTAGTCTGTTTCATTCGTGACAGACTAAAATAGAGTTTACCCAATTCTATTTGAGAAAACGATTTCCTTATAACTTTTAAACATATCAAGAACTTTGGATTATAGTAGTGACAGGGGCGTAGGAACCGGCCTGAAACATTTTCATAAAATTTGCAGTTTTTGTCCAAATGAAACTTTTGAAAACTTTAATCTAGGTTTTTCCCGAAAAATGTTTTAGTTTCCGAGAAAAATATCATATCTTTGTTTTTCCGGAAAATTTTTTTTGGTATTTAAGGAAACATATGGTATGTCCGGAAAATTTTTTTACCCCTAAATTGGTAAACTGACCGAAATTTTTTTGGCGACGGGGGGGGGTTCGCCAAAATTTTTTTGAGATGCCCTATTTTTTTTTAAAGTGCCCCTCAAAGCCTGCCCCCCCCAACTTTTCTAAGCTTCCTACGCCCCTGAGTAGTGACTTATTTTACTTTTTACATCGTAATTTCCTAGTACATATACTTCAGAAAGATATATTATAACATATTACTATTAGCTATATTGTAATTTATTTGCAGAACCTCCCTGAAAACCACGTATGTGATGGAAGCTGTTAAAATATTACTTTAATAATAATAATAATAAAGTTTTGCATATATATATATGTACTTCTAATTCGCTGCAGATTTCTTTCAGCATTTTGACATTGAATTTTTTCAATTCGTTACGTTGGCGTAATTCACAAGTTACTTATATATTAACGCAACACGCAAGCAAGTTTATATGAAAGCAAGTTAATATCAAAACCGTGAAATTATACAAAATTTAGATATATTTTTTTATTTCAGCTGCATGTGTTTCCACAAAAATTAAAAAGTCAAAAATCACCTGTGGAAATAGTCTCGCGGTAAATTTTCGGCGTGAAAGCAAACAATTCTCGACATGTTGCACGTGTTTTGATAGCCGAATTATTTAGCTGGTCAGCGGCTTTCGCCATAACAATAACAATAACAAAACGAGTAAAATTAAACGATGGAGGAATTGACTAGCATTGCCTGTTGACGAAGAATCACGATTTATACTGATACGAGACTGTGTCTACAATAATCATTAAGATATCGAAAGTGATTAACACTAAAGAATAATGGAAGCTAACGAACGTCAAATAATAAGTCAACTGACAATCGGGGTCATTGAATGACAAGGCTATGATCGAGGCATTTTGGTAGGTTTATATTGTGGTAGGTTTTCTCTTGACTTTCTAAATAAATCTTCAACATAAATCGATGTTTGATAATTTGTTGACTAACGGACGTCTTTACATGATGCAAATGTATAACTTGTCTTGATTATATTCAGCTAGAAAATGTTTATTATTTATACAATACGATCCATTACGTCCATACATAACGGAAATGCCTGTGTCAGTGCTTTTCCCTAAAAGACTTTAGACAACAGTAAAGGTCAAACGAATGTTTATCACTGTTCTAGGCCCAATAATATGTAAAATTTTGCTCTTTCAAAGCAGAGTTTACAATAAACATGAACGTTCTTATTTGCTCCAAACTGCCGAAAGTCGAAAATGTTGATGTTCTGTTGGCCTGTAGTACTTCCAAAATTTACAGGCCGCAATATGTTATTTTATAATATGTAAGACCAACCTTTAATCTCACCATACAAATAATATTACATTCATAGCAAGTCTAACTTTTGAATTTTAGGGTTTTTATTTCACCCATTTTTAAGGAACTTGGAAATTTCTATTTTAGTCTATCATGAATGATGTCATTTCTATATTTAGAAAACAAATTTGAGAAACTTATAGATACCTTGTTACTTAAGACATATAAAGCTACTATTGTCTGGAAAGATTTAGTTTTATGATTATTTTTGTTTGATGTACAGAGGTTTAAAAATCAGCAAAAATCCCCTATTGAGAACAGCAAAAATCGTAATTTTTTCCCTCAACTTCACCCCCCTGGAACTTTGCCAAAATGCAATTAGACTGAAAACAAAATGCATTTTGAAACAACCCTTATAAAGGCAAAGAAAGAAAGGGAGAGATCTATTTGTTGATCCAAAGAGGTCATGAGGTTCTTACAGAGACTGCCGCTTAAAGCACCTACATTTGGACTTCCTTACACCGTAAGTCTAAAGCAAGGCTAATGCAGTCTAATGCAGGGTAATGCAGTCTAATGCAGTCTAATACAGTCTAATGCATGGTAATGCATGCTAATGCAGTCTAATGCAGAGTAATGCAGTCTCATGCAGTCTAATGCAGTCTAATGCAGGAGAAAGAAAGGGAGAGATCTATTTGTTGATCCAAAGAGGTCATGAGGTTCTTACAGAGACTGCCTCTTAAAGCACCTACATTTGGACTTCCTTACAGCGTAAGTATAAAGCAAGGCTAATGCAGTCTAATGCAGGGTAATGCAGTCTAATGCAGTTTAATGCAGTCTAATGCAGTCTAATGCACCCTGATGCATGCAGCGGAGAGATCTATTTGTTGATCCAAAGAGGTCATGAGGTTCTTACAGAGACTGCCGCTTAAAGCACCTACATTTGGACTTCCTTACACCGTAAGTCTAAAGCAAGACTAATGCAGTCTAATGCAGGGTAATGCAGTCTAATGCAGTCTAATACAGTCTAATGCACCCTAATGCATGCAGCGTAATGCAGTCTAATGCAGTCTAATGCAGTATAATGCATCCTAATGCAGTATAATGCATTGTAATGCATCCTAATGCAGTGTAATGAAGTGTAATGCACCCTAATGCAATCTAAGGGGCTGTTTATATGAGGCGAGCCAGCTCGGGTACCCGAGCTACCTCGTTTTAGGCGGGATCCCGTCTTTGTTAATATTTCCTACTAAATTTCATCTTGCGTTTCTATGAGAACCGAGCTGGCCCGCCTAACCGAGGTCCCGCTTCGTGTGACCCGAGACCTCGGGTGAACGGGCTGGGTAGTTTTCCATATAAACGCAACAGGAAGGGCTAGCCCTCCTAATAGGGCTGGAAATTTAGCAAATACGCATGCGCAAATAATTAGAATAATTCAAACTGCACGAACACCTTCCATATAAGGAACCAACTTCCATATATGGAGTTGTTTACGCAAAAAAAATTGGAAAACGAAGAGCCAGCCCTTCGTGTAAGTTTCATGTAAACGCGTGGTGAAATTCATCTCGGGGATACGCGTGGTGAAATTCATCTCGGGTACCCGGGCTGGCTCGCTTCCATATAAAGAGCCCCTAATGCAGTGTAATGCATCCTAATGCAGTCTAATGCAGTGTAACGCGTCCTAATGCACTGTAATGCAGGGTAATGCAGTGTAATGCAGTCTAATGCAGGGTAATGTAGTCTAATGCAGTCTAATGCAAGCTAATGCAGCCTAATGAAGTCTGATGCAATCTAATGCAGTCTAATGCAGTCTAATGCACACTGATGCAGCCTAATGCAGACTAATGCAGTGGTGAAATTCATCTCGGGGATACGCGTGGTGAAATTCATCTCGGGTACCCGGGCTGGCTCGCTTCCATATAAAGAGCCCCCTAATGCAGTGTAATGCATCCTAATGCAGTCTAATGCAGTGTAACGCGTCCTAATGCACTGTAATGCAGGCG